ATGTGAGGCCAGCCGGCCATAACGCTAGGCCAGCACCAGCGCCAGCCTAACGCGGAGCAAGCAGAATGTCAGAAGTCAGTAAGCAGAAGCAGAATGTCGCCTTTGTTCGGCACTGGCGTGAGGCGATGTCGTAGGACCTTTCCGTGCGCTCTTCGCGTGGACCCATCAGGCGATGTGGAGCGGCGACACTGACCGCTGCCCGGCCGTTCAGGGGAGGACATAACCGGAGGGCCGCCATTCAGGGAAGGACCCGACCGGAGGGTCGAAGACCGGGTGCTCGAACAAACGGATATAGTCGTTTCGAGCCCGAATTACGCCTATTAATGCCTGGAACTAGTCAAAATGTGACATAATGTACAACGTCTGAACAGTCAGACCTTGAGATGTGCAGGCGCAGTAGTCAGCATATCCATTTGCAGCTGCCTCCTCGTCTACCTCCGACCTCCTTACTCACCTCCCTCCTTGTCACCTCCACCAAGCTGGTGCCAATTCGTCCTACCGGAAGTAGCAGTTATCCATCCACCACGAGCAACACGACCGTTTCTGATGGCAATGCGTCTCGTCGTCAAGCGCCAGTCAGTGATCCAGCGCGGGGCTGATTGATTTTCTACTGGACGTGAAGAAAGCCGCAGGCTCCTCAGGTCGTCAACGGCTACCGATAAGCTCGACCACCACCGACAGATATCGATAGGCTCAGCCTCTGAATTCTCGGTCCGAGCTCTGAGTCCAAGGCTGGATGCGTGTGATTGCAGTCGCCCGGCAACATCCGGCTTGCCGGCTCGGCCTGGCAGGATTACGCAGGTCAGGTGTAGCGCGAGCGCGTTTCGTTAAGTACCTCCCTGATGGAAGAGTTTCACTTCGCAGTGGGGTTGCTGTGCAATGAGGTTAGAGCATGTCCTGCAAATAGCACATCTGTTCGTGTTTCCGACTACCCCGAGAACAGCGTGTAGCATCAAGACATCCCAAGCTCTCATCCCAAACCCTCGACATAGCGCCGCCCTGTCCCACCCCGCGCCACCGTCACCAGCATCGCTCACGCTGCGGGCGCGGCGCGGTTCGCGCGCGCGACCGGCACATACTTCGCCGGCTCTGGAGCTGCGGCGCGGCGTCAGCGCGCCACCACCAGGTCCAGCGTTCAGGGCCGGCGTGAGCGAGCCTGGCAAGGCCAGCGGCCGGCTTTTCAGCTCAGCGGCCGACTATCGGCGCGCCGTTGGGCTTAACGCGGGACCGGGTGGCGGACAGAACGGAAGTCTGCAGTCTGGAGGAGTCTGGGGTAGACTGGAGCGGCGCCGCGGCGGACCGGGCGTCCGGTCCAGTCTGTGGGGACGTCTGGTCAGGCTGGCGGGGAAGCGATATGGTGTCGCCTCGCAGTCTGGCCATGGTGTCGCCTCGCAGTCTGGACATGGTGTCACCTCAAAGTCTGAACATGGTGTCGCCTCGCAGTCTGGACATGGTGTCACCTCGCAGTCTGGACATGGTGTCGCCTCGCAGTCTGGACATGGTGTCGCCTCGCAGTCTGGACTTGGTGTCACCTCGCAGTCTGGACATGGTGTCGCCTCGCAGTCTGGACTTGATGTCACCTCGCAGTCTGGACATGGTGTCGCCTCGCAGTCTGGACTTGGTGTCACCTCGCAGTCTGGACATGGTGTTGCCTCGCAGTCTGGACATGGTGTCGCCTCACAGTCTGGCCGTGGTGTCACCTCGCAGTCTGGCCGCGGTGTCGCCTCGCAGTCTGGACTTGGTGTCACCTCGCAGTCTGGACATGGTGTCGCCTCGCAGTCTGGTCTTGGTGTCCCCTCGCGGTCTGGTCGTTGCCTCTCAGCCTGGTCGTGTTCGCCGCCGACAGCCAGTGCCGTCGTGTTGGTGCCGACGTCAGCTGGGCCGCGTGGTCTTGCTCGCTGCGACGGGCCTCGACCCTCGTGCGGCCGTGACGTCACGCTGTGACGTAAGTCCGGCCGGGCCGACGGCGGGCCGGGCACGTGTCAGCCGGTCGCGTGTGCTCCAGAGTCGGCGACCGGAAGCCGGGTGCATTAGACTCGCGGCGTCGGCAGTGTGCGGGCTTAGCAGCGAATTAGAAAAGCATGCAAGTGTCGGGCAGACTTGGGGATGGGGCGACGCACAGGGGCGCGGACAGGGTTTTTACGGCGGGGCGGCTGAGGGGCGGAGAGAGAAGGCACCACGCCGATTTCTAACTTTCTGCCAGGGGCCGTCTATGATGGAAAAGGAAAATGCGGATCTAAGAAGGGCGATTCCGGGCTCCCTTGGCTGCTCCCGTGGTGGCGGATTATGGGAAAAGTCACAATATACTCCCGTGGTCATTGAAGTATGTTTTGGGCTCTTCTATGCCATATGACAACGCTCGCGTGATCGTTTCGTTTAACCAGCGCCCCATAACATATTTAAGACCGGTGAGTTCGAGCGAACTCATAATACCAAAAAGAAAGACAGGAGCAAAGTTCTTTATTGGCGTTATAAAGACGGGTGGCCACGCCAAACTGTATCAGAAGTCCATTAGTCGTGATTGGTGCGTTACGCAGGCGACGTTGGAGACAGATGGCCTCATTTTCATTGCATATCGGCGTTGCCAGGCGACGTGGCTTGGAGCGCGGAAGTTCAGCGGCCGAGAGCTTGGTAGAAGCTGGTTTAACGAGCTCGCTACAAATGAAACTCGAGGACTGGTTGGTCAATGTAGACACAAGCTGCAGAAGTTGCTCAATTTCCCACGGGGTTCCGGCCAGTAGTTCCAAAGCAAAGCATGAAATATTGCTAAGAGGAGCACGCTGAGTGTCACTCCTGCCATCTATCCGTTGCAGGGGAGTAGGGAATGCAGCGCGGCTGACGTCTGCCCACCAAACTTCGCCACGGCTGGCGGGACTGGCCCAACCCGATCTGTTGCAGGCTTGTCGTGCACTGATGCCAACCGTACGCTGTTGCCGACCATACACGGTTGCCAACCGCGCATCGTTGCTAACCGTACGCTGTTGCTAACCGTGCGCTGTTGCTAGCCGTGCGCTGTTGCTATTGAGCGCTGTTATGCAGAACGAAACGGGTGCCGGGCTGAAACCAATAGATGTCCACCAGAACAGACTGACTATTCTCAAAGACTTGAACTCATTGCAACGGTGTGTGCTTTTCCAGATGCCATCCTAAAAGTCTAAAGTCGCCTACGCATGGAATGGTTGCGATGCTGGTCCTATTTCCTCCTTACATCCTCTTATGTTCCTTTACCGTTCTGCTGCGCACCAGCGGCCGGCAAGCAGAGGGCCGCCAGCAGTGCCCTCTCATAGCACATCGTACACTGTCACCACTGCAGCATATATACATCAAATATATATATATATTTATATGTATGTATATATGTGCAAGTTTGGTTGTGTGCTAGGGTAAATGTATGATCTATGAAGTGCGAGTATGTTGATTTGTTGTGTCAATGTTGGTTGGCGAAGATGTACGTGCATTGGCTGGAGAACCATGTCCTCAAAAACCTGAACCTTAAGCCACACGTGTGCTGCGGATATGTTTATAACATATTTGTTTATGTCAGGGACGAGGCCCTCCTTCATCAACTGCAGGCTGCTATGCAGGGGCAAGCTTTATTGCGATTCACAGCTGACCTGAGTGTCGACAACCGTTAAACATCTGTTGACGTCGATGTGGGTGCGAGTTGCGGCTCTTTCGAGAGAAAGCGCATCGCAAGCCTGTCGGCGCTGGCCAATGTGTGGACGCGGCTAGCAAATGCCCAGAGCGTTACCACACAGCCATCATCCGTCCTTTTCCATGACGGGCTCTAAAATATCGCTCCAGCTGGTCCAGCACGAACTTGAGCGGTGCAGGCAATCGCTCGTTTACAACGGCTTTTCGAACAGCGAAATTGGCGGCGAGATTAGGTCCACCTTAAATCACAGAAACCTGAAACCGCACGACGTGCCTGATCTCTTCCACGGTGACATTCAGTGCGAGATTCTCACGCTTAGGCAACGACGTACATTGCCGACACAGCGTCCAACAAAACCGCACACAAGGTCAAACGAAACCCCGCCAAACACGGCGGCATAGAAAACCGCTCCGAGATCTGCACCGAGCAGTACCTGACGCTGCGGAGGCTCTGTTTTATGCAGGTACTCGTCGAACCCGCTGGAGCCGCAGTCAAACCCCAACGGGCCGGCCCTGCCGACGCGCGTGGTCAGCGTCTTCGTCAACGCCGTAACGCGTCTCGTCTCCTACATCTTCACCCTGCCGCGCTTCAGGCAGATCGCTGCCTGCGACCAGAGGGTCCTGCTCAAGCACGGGTATGAGGCAGCCAGATCTCCCGTCCCGCTCTTCCTCATGTCTCATCCGCCCTCATGACCGCATTCTTACGAGCCTTGTGCGCTCACGCCCTCCCC